ATTTTTTTTTCTCAGTGTAATAATTTATCTAGTTTACACATCTCTTGTTTCGAAATATCAATAACTATATATTTGGATGTTATCCTAAATTGTAAAACATATATAATCCGAATTTTTATCTCATTATTAAAAAGCATAAATCGCAGACGTGTGCTCGCGAGATATCTTGTTATTCTATATATTATTTTTAACCTTCTGTGCACTGGGTGTGATTATATTCCAGCAAAATTTAAACTTCTATAACTTTTAAAAAAATATTGCGTGCAAGTTTCAAACAATTCGATGTTATGACAGTTGAAACTATTATACTAAATTAGTACTAAATTACTTAAAGTACTAAAGTACTTAAAGCGAATATAACATGGGATACGTGAGATATCCCACATGGTTTGCTATGTTGATATTTTCCACCTAGTGCACGGAAGGTTAATTAAAACAATGATTAATTTAACCCAAATTTGGGTTAAATTTAAACTGTTTTAAATTATTTTATAACCCTATTGTTTTAGTTAAAAATACATTAAGTAGGCGCAGTAGTGATTCAAATAGGATTAAATTTGACATTATAGATTTAACAGTGTTCGTCAACGCAAAATAGGTAAATGGTCTCATATGTAAATTCTGTCAATATATAGCAGACGCGATCACTAAAAGAAATGAGAAACTTTAAAAGTTTTATAGTTTCATCCTGTATATGTCGTATCGCATATCACACGTCAGTCTATATGTGTATTTATACATTTAGGATGCTGGAATGTTTGTCACATATCGATTCCCCCGATAGCAGAAACAGAAATAAAAACATTGCCGGCGAAGTGGCAACAAACTGTTGATAAGAGTACATGTTACAAGCTGTGTTTTATTCATTTCGTTCACGAAACTTTTCAATGACGCACACGCTACGTGGAACTGCAGAGGTGCGCGGGCGTTGTCTCGTTAAATCTGAAGCGATTTGTTTCACAAACAACTAAACAAGATATCATCGTTGCACACCGCGATTATGCGGAAGCCGTTTATGTTCATGACCCGATATGTTGATTAATCTCTTCATCGGGTTATCGCGCTACCGTCTGATAAGGCTCCGCCAATTGACCGCGAGCACGCCGGGGCACGCCGGGGGTTTAATCGGCCACTCTGTCCACACTCGGTGTGTGTTTGCGCACGGTGGCTTAAGATCCTTAGCGGGCCGTTTGCCCGAAGACGTTGATGAACGAGCGTGCAGACCGAGTCCATCCCGCGCCGATGTATTAATGTGATAATCGTGTTCCGCGCTGTAGAAACGAGCAACGCGCGCGGAAACGAGAACGGTGTATCGCGATATCGGGATCATTACTCCGTTTAAGATGTTATGCACGCCGCACAGAGAAATTGCGTCCCGCGGGTTGGAAACGTTACGCGCGGCAGAGAGAGAGAGAGAGAGAGAGAGAGAGAGAGAGAGAGAGAGAGAGCCGTCCGGCGTCCTACTTATCTCGGTAAGCTCTGCGTAAGGCGGTCGTAAATTCCACCCAGAGTAATTACGGGATATTTGCCAGACGCAGACTCTCTCGTAAAAGATATTCACATTGAATATAAGTTTCGCTTCTTGGGGCTGAAAGGGAGGAGCGGGAATAAAGCGCTCTCTGATGTCGAAATGAAGCGCTACTTCTAATTTTCTGAACCAAGGTCTCCTTTGACTTATTGCTAACGTCTGTTTACGTTTACGCGCATCGCGCTCGTTGTTATCGAAATTTTAATGGGACACGCGGCTTTGGGATGCTTTACTCGCGCATTAAAATTCCTATTTCTCATTTCTGCTCGCCGGCATACCGCAGGCGTAAATTAGCCGCGCGGATATTATAGATTCCGCTCGCATTCGCGTTTAGGTAAACTTAACGAGATATCGACGAATATGAAATTTTGTACCTTCCTGTATCCTCGTGCGTTGTATATTCCAGCTCTCTCGTTTCACAGTTTCGCCGAAGGCGTAGCGCTCGCAGCGAGCCGAAGTACAACCTGCCCGTAAACTAAATTTTTTTAAAGTCATTTTTCCGAATAACGTGAAAGCCAAGTAGCTCGGAAAAAAAATGCTTTTCACGCTACACATACGTCACGAGAATACAAAAACTATGCTGCCAGCACCCGAAATAGTCCTCGAGTTCAACAAAGTATGCAATGTGGGCGATGACTGTCGCAGATACAATGAAATTAACTATCAGTAATGAGAAGCAGGACGAAAGGTAAAGGATATATAACGTGTTCGCGCATATTATTCCGCCGCCGGAGGCGAGCACGGTGAAGCTCGCAATATTCGAGATACCTCGAATTATTCCGCGGCATCCTACGAATGTCGCTACGAACGAATGCACTCGCATAATTTTGCGCCGTCTCATAAGCACGCATTGTGTCGGTATTCGATTCTAACAAGACGCAGCGTTTCTTAATCGTCTCTAAGGGAACTGGGTCATCAGGTTTAAAAGTCACTTGGCGATTTTGCGCATACGCGCTTCACACACCTGCTTACTTTTGCAGTATCTAATAAACTGAATGTTTTATCTTTGACAGAAAAGGATATATTATTTATCGTCAAGTATCGCTTTTCCCTTTTTTTTTTGGAAAGGAGGACGATTCGATATTTATTAGTAATGCATTTGCAGTTCCATTTTCCAAACTTCCTCGGTTACGCAAACGTGGTAATATCTTTTTGGCTTACATTTCACAGTCGCATAGCGCTTCGTACACCGGGTGTCGAAATACAAAATATCGCGAAATGTTTTTACTTCGGCATCAACGATACCCGCAGCGCGCGGAATTATTCATCGTAGACCTAAAAGGCGCTTTTATTCGACGGTCGCGTTGAATTTCGTGCATCGCTCGCGCCGCGCCGGCGAAAAAACCATCGCCGGGCTGACCTTTTCGCGCGGGCAAATGTTAAACGATGGGCAAAAATTGCGCTGTGTTTCTTTCGCACAAACTGGCACGCTCGAAAACGTCAATCGCGCGTCGGGCGACGCAGTCGTCAAACGTACGGTCGCGGGAATACGCTTTACGCAAAATATAAATTGAATGAAATACACATCATTAATCATCTGTAAACTTCATTCCGGATTTGCGCATATTTAAATCATAATTCGGGCGATTTAATAAATATTGTGCCAATATCGAATTCATTTGTAATTAAATATGAAGATTATCATGGTTCATTAGGCGCGACCTGATTGCAACGCGCGTTGTACGTATAAATTTTGATGCAATCGACTATTGAAAGTATAACTACGGCGTGTTATGAACAAATAAGGGGGGAAGAGAACAAATATTTTTGTCAAATTATTATGTTTCTGTAACTGTCAAATAGTAAAATTATTGAATTATTATATTAGTGATTTTTGTATTCAGAACCTCGAAACTTTTATCCGACAGATATGCAAATACGCTATCGGATTTTCCACAATATTAGTTAATCGAAAATCAAATAATCAACAAACAATGCTCTGCATTTATCGACAATTAGTTCGCAACCGAAAATTATCTGTATCGAGATTTAGATAGTATTTATTACTCGACATTGTACATGACACTTTTGATAGAGCACAGATAACAATAGTTATCATGAAATATTTTATGTACAAAAGGAATTGTGATATCGTTTAACAAAGCTTACGCAAACGTCTCTTTTTTTATTGTCCCTTTGTTCTTTTTGCCTCGCTTGTGTGATAATTTTTAATATAAGACAATTTTCTATATTCTTCTTTTTTTTATGTATCTTTGCTATCAATAAATATTGAAATTAAACTTCTATATAATTTCTTAATAATGTTATATTAAAGTTTAAGAATTTTTTTCTTGATTAAACCTTAGGCATGAAATTGAAAAAAAAAATGCTGTACAACGTACGCTTTAAACACAAACAAACACGTATAAGGAATTATATAATATATATAGTATCAGTAGAAACTATATAATACATAAACCGTAATACATGTCTAATACCAAAACTTTAAAAAAATTTTGAAGTTTGTTAAACAGACTTTAGAAAACTTTAAAGCCTGTTCAATTTTTTAAATAAACGGTAATATTAAAAAACTTTAATATTATACTTTTACAAATATTACTCTTTTACAATATTAAGTTTAGCAATTAGAATATAATGATAATGGCAGAGAATAACTCCATTCTGTCTTTAATAAAGCTTCATGCATCATATATTCCTTCTTACTCTTTCTCTCTTTCTTTCCGTATCACATCATGAATGCGCAAAAAAGTAAAGACGCGTTTGGTAAACACTTTCAGAGCTGGAGAAGCGGCCGCAGCCGCAGCCGCCTCGGAGCTCTGAGGAGCTGGAGGATCTGCATAAGCTGCTGCACTTCCCCGAGGAGGTGGCGCTCAGGTTGACGGAAAGCGAGTACCAGCTATTCTATCAGGTACCACCGCACGAGTACTTAAGGCACGTGGCGCAGGATCAGACCGCGTTGCAGAAACCACCTGCCAGGCCACCCCCGTCGCCGAGTCGCAGCTGCAGCAACCCCAGCACCGCCAACAGCTCGACCCAAACCGAGGACGAAGCAACCTGGCCTGTCGCCACGGTGTACTCCACCGTGCAGATCCTCATCGATCGTTTTAATGAGGTATTAATTCCCTCCTCCGTATTCGAATTTTTCGACGACACACCGATAGCTTTTGATTATGAGAAATGCTGCGGAGGGGCCTCTAAACTGCTATTTCTAATCGACGAAGCATTATTATTATTACTCGACGTGAAAAAAGAAAAAAAACAGCATTGCACCACGAATGGTAATAGTCGAGAATCAACAATCGCGGAGGAAAAGACTCCGAGCCAAGAATTCTCCCCCTCCCTCCCCTCGCTCCCCCTTTCTTAGCTTCAGCCCCGCGGAAACTCTCATCAGCTGCTTTTAATGAGGTATCTACTTCTCCAGCGGCTTTCCGTTTACGTTTTCGCCCAGACACTTTCACCCACTTCACCGACACACGTATACATACACACGCGTACGGATATCACCTGACCTCGCTTACTCGTTTCCGCCGTCCCTACTGCCATTTCCCACTCTAAATCCTCGCTCAAGGTTGAAAACGTTTCTCCATCCCTCCGTTTTCCACGTTGTTCTCTTTATCACCGTGTTAAACAAAAGCCTCGGAACAGAAAGCCCCGTCGGAAAATTCTGGACGTCTCTCGCGGATAACTGCACGGTTCCGTGATTGTCTTACAGCGGGATAATTTCCATTTTGTTGTACGAAACGTAACAACCGATAAAGATCGCACCGGTAATGTAAGAAGTCTATATATAATTAAAACTAACGTTTCAGTTATCGTCAATGGTATATACTTCTTGTGTTATTACTACGCTAATTTTTATGTCGCTAAATGTGTATGTATCTATCTGCATTTAGCAAATTCTCGAAGTTGCCTACTATTATACCCATAATCAATAATTAATAAATCTGATTAATTGTCTCGTCAACTTTTTTTTATAAAACGATGAAGGTTGAATTGTTCTATCGGAAACAAATTACACTTGCAATTAGATACAAGAATCAATTTCACGTAAATGTGAACTTTAGTCGGTAACGTAAATTGTGGCATTTATTGTCAGTTTAACGACGAAGTTCACATAGTTGTTATACGTAATGGACGGCACACGATTTGCAAATGAGATAATCATTATTGTGTTTGTTAATCAGGTAAGCTCATGGGTCACCCACGCGATCACCAGCGGTGCCACGGTAGAAGAACGGCAGGCAGTGCTGTCCTGTCTTCTACGCGTCGCGCTAACCTGTTGGAACACCGGAAACTTTAATTCAGCCATGGAGATAATTGCCGGTCTGAAGTAAGTACCCCCATAATGTGCTTGTCGTAAACGCGAACGACGGCGCCAAGTCCCCGTACTTAAAAGGTCAATCCTCGAATTGCTGCCGCCCCACCTTGCCGCGACGCACTCACTTTATTACTGTCCGTAAGACATCAGGTAGACCAAAAGCTCCGCATTGTTTCGGGCTAAGTGTACGAAAGTCGTAATACAATTTCTTGGTCCCGCCGCGAAATTACGAAAGCCCATCCATCTTCATCCACCGTAAGCATCTAACCGCAGGGCAAAGTTGCTGTCAGCACCGATAGATCATTACGAAAGACGACCGCAGCACGCATCCCGTCGATCTCGAGTTTCGATTGGATTAGAGACTTCAGCCGCCGTCACCGCGCGTCGCCGCTCTGTGCACGCGCGGCTATAATTTTGTATCATTACAATTATATAATCGGCTAATCTCGCGGATTAATGAATTATAGGATTATCAGAGAACTCAAACAAGCTGTATTACTCGAACAAGCCAATTATGTATAATTCTTAATCTGCACATGAAGAACTTCGACGCGACGGACGGCGTCAAGATAATTTTTAGTCGTTTTCGACAATGTATTGTTGTACCTATATGCCATCTTATGAATTTGTAATTTCAATAAATCTTAAATGAAAGACATTCGAAATTTATACAAATCGCAAAGATATTGTCTCGCACCATCTCACCAGGGATTTGCGAAACATATAATCCCCAACGAGTTTGCGACACTAATCCGAATTCAAGGCTTCCTTGAAACTTTCCTCGTGTTTGTTGCATGACGTTGCGACTTACAAGGTCGCGCGCTCGCTCAATTAATCTTCATCTATTGGAATAAAGGGACTCTCGAAATTATATTTCTCCACATCGAAGACAATGGAGTGCTCGGGGCTTTTATTCGGGTTTATTAATTCCGAACACGAAAGGTACCTCCGAACATCTATATATACATACGTACAGCGAACTTTGCCGCGCTGTATAAACTATGAATGGAAACCCTCCGCGGGAAGTAACGAATGTTTAACTTCCAAGAGTATCTTTGATCGACCACAAACTAGCAATTAAAAAAAACTTTGTACTTAGTTTGCCATGTCGTGATGACTGTTGACCATTCACGCAAAGTCAGATAAAACCCATTAAAAGTGCATCCAAAGTGGCTTATCCTCGCAAACAAGAATTAAATATCCGTGGAGTGAAACACTTTCTCTTGCGAGGAAAATTATTTTTTGCATAAAACAAGATTAATAACATGCAAATGAATTCATGAAAAAGTCAACAGTAGGTATATCAAATTACAGATAGTATTTATAATATAGTCTTACCAAGAGTAAAAGTTGTTTCATAAATTATCTTTAGATGTAATATTTTAGTAAATTATAAAGTCGTACTACCAGAAAATTAAACATTACAGCTTTAAGACGCGGAGAGCTTTAATGCTACAGAGATTAACTCTACACATTCTTTTAAAAGATATATGAAAGCATCGCGATAAAAGTATTCGTTGTAATTAAAAATATATATTTGCACTGAAATTCTGACGCTTCTTTCTATGTTGCGATTTAATCTTAACTGTAAGTAAAGTACTCAATTATATACATAAATATTAGCAGAAAAATAAGAAAATTCTAATTCATTTTGTTATTTAAATATTTATGATTTCAAAAATAATAAATTAAATATAAAATTAAATATAAAATTATGAAAAAAGATTAATATATGATTAATTAATTAAGAATAGAAAAATATAAAAGAGTTCAAGGGTATTCTCATAGAAACGCAATCTTTATAAATATATATGTGTGTTTTAGTAAAGAAAATTTCATTCTGATCTCATCGCGTTTCAATATAATATGTTATTAATTCGATTGGTTTCAAGTTTCTCAAAAGTATACGTCTTTTTATCAAGACAAGTGTTTTATTAACGTAAGTAAGAAAGTCAGGAGATGAGTTAACTGCCATGTAATTGAATATGATGTTAAGTCTCGAACTTTTATCGATAAAAAACTTCGCGATATCTCCGAGAATCGGATCAAACTCTACTTAATGCGATTACACAAGAGGATTTCTTTGCGTCGGATTCGTATCCCGAGCAGCGACCGAAGAAACATTTACTCCTCTCCAAGTACAAAACAAATCAAAAACTGTTCGACGGTAAATATCAAGATCTCCCGGCGTATCGCCTGTGTTAGAGCTTACTGGACAAGATCCAATTTTTTGACTATAGAGATTTAAATCTCTGGAAAATGACAACACTTTCCGAACGTCTAAGATCCTTGACATTTTCGCAGCCGCGTATCTGAAATTTGCGACGAGCGAGAGATCAAAGATCCACTTGTCAGGTTTTCAGACGATCGTGGCAGTCAAGATTCGACTATAGATTTTCCGTGAAGATGCTTTCATCTCGAAAGAAGGATGGTTATTAAGGTCGAGTAAGTGTCCTTCAAACAACGATCTGCGCGAATTTGACTTAGGAGAACTGAAACACTAATTGCTCTCCCTCTCTCTCTCTCCCTCTCTCTCTTTCTCACTCTGAATATTACCTTTGTTAGATTTCAATCGCGTCGTCTCTTTTTCGATGTCAAGTGCATCATTAAAATTGAAATTTAAAACGACACAATACATCTTGTCTTAATTTCCGTATTTTATTAATTGTAAGATCTACAATCATCGAAAATGTATTTTGAGTTCCTCATGTTGCTTCAATTTACTTGGTTTTGAAAAATAGTGTTCTTATTTTCTTCCCAAAATCAACGTTACTACAAATAACTTATACGAATTTTTTAACTAGGCTTGAATAAACAATATTTACAATTATTACGTAATGTTTACGTATTTCTGTTAAAGCAAGAGTGCATAGATTTCGAATGGGAAACCGAAGAATGCTCGCCAGTTGATTGAAATACTTATACTAGATTCCCTTTACTATGGCTGGGGCGCATAAACGTTATGCGCGGTAACGACCTGCTTCCGGGCATGTTTCTGCTTCTTCGTCCTGCTGTCTCGTGCAACGTGTGGGTTTTATCTTGAGAATAACAGCCAGTGCATTACCATCAAATTGCAAAACAAGAAACGCGTACGCTACTTGCTAATCATAAAAGGTCCATAATACGTATGCAAATTGATTATTAATTATGCACGCTGTTGTTACGAATAAACTGTAGATATTTAATGACATTATTATTGCCCATATTTACACAGAAGAATGACAATTGTTTTAATATCAAAATTTCCAATTATAAACTTTTAAAAATTAAAGACTTTAATAATAGTTAAAATTGAATTTATATTATTAAATTTTATTCTTTGTTATTTTATTTTTAAGCTTTTATTAAACTTTACAGCCAAATATAATTATAATTTAAAATAAGAGAAAATAAATTTGGATATTTTAACGTCCATAACAAAAATTAATAAAAAAATCATCAAATTGTCAAACGTGCGAATCAACTCTAAACTCGTAAAAGAAAAACTGTGTGAGAAAAAATTTAGGATGCTCTACATACACACGAAATTAGGGAAAGTGCAAGATACAAACGCATCAATAATCACTTCATGTCGGTTAATTAATTAATTAAACCGAGAGAGAACCCGCAGTTTTTTTTCAGTAAACTCACAATCAGATAAGCCTAATGTATATTAAACACAGAGATATGTCTCGTTGTAGGATCTCTATCGCGTGTCTTATTGCAAGGCGGAGTGGCTTCCATGGTAGTTTGCTTTATTAAGAGCTTCTCGTGAAAGTTTTATCGAGCACCACGACACGTAGCTCATTCCGCGAATGTTTCCCGGCTCGATGCTCTACCCATTTCCCGAAACGATTCACAATGGCGTAATCGCATTATTTCACGAGGAGTTCTTTCGGCGACTGCAACCCCTTTCAACTCGATGCCTGCTCTTGCGAGGGAGAGTGGGATAATCTCCCGTTGAAAAGTAATTCGAGTAACGAATGTGTGTCATTAATTTTCACGGGGAGATCAACGGGTACGGCGAGGCGACTCGCGCGCGTTGCTCGCCCGTAAAATCGTTCTCCTGCTCGTTTGATAATTAATCCTCTCTCTGCCTGGCGTGAGGGAGCTCAAAAAAAAAAAAAGAAAAATAGAAAGCGACATTCGCAATGGACTTTTAAAGTCTCAAAGAACAACTTGCAAAGTTTTCATATCGCGGCTGTGAAAAAAGAAATTGACGTGACACCTGGGAAATTTCATCGTACTTTAAACTGCCATATATGCTATTTGCTGGCGTTAAAAAGCGGCATTAAAAAAGTGATTTTTCTCTTATTTGAGGTTTTGCTCGTAAATTTGTTTACGAATCAAAATACATAAATTCCTCGATTGCGGTGCGGGCCTCGCCACGGTATGCGGTACGAAAACACACCCATTGCCTGTCTATCCACTTGAAAAAAGCTGACGCTGATTGACTTAATACTGTTGTTTGTGCCTCGGGAGAAAAGAAATAGAAAAAAAAGAAGATTTCCGCACGAGATACAGGCTCTTTGTAATCTACCCGGCGTCTAAAGGAGAATACTTTATTAAAGGGTTTCTTGCCAACTTGAAAACTACGCTGAAAATCTGCTTGGAAGTCCTGATCGATGCTCCACGTGCACATTTAAATGGGGAGAGCGTCTTTGAGAATATCTCAGAAACTTATTCTCATAGAGAGGAGGAAATATGAAGTAGAAAGAGAACAGGATCGAACTTCACTTCCGCTTCAGGAGTTCAAGATTGGCTTCCCCCCTCCTTCCCTCTCTCTCTCACTCTCTCTCTCTCTCTCTCTCTCTCTCTCTCTCTCTCTCTCTCTCTCTCTCTCTCTCTCTCTCTCTCTCGTCTCT